TTGCACCGCCGAACTGACTAATTACTTTATATGGAAAAATCATGGTTATGCGTATGAGTTTTTGTGCATCAGATTTACTTCAGATTTACTTGTAATACAAATTTACTTGTAATACAAATTTCCAAATGGGAAAAAAAACACGTAAAAATATTAACAGTTATTACAGTATTAAGAGATTACAAGATCTGTTTTACGTTTAGAGTTAGCATAGTGTTAAGAGATATGATTATTATTATTATTATTAAAAAATAAAATAAAAAAACAATAGATATTAAAATATAAAATTGTCTTTCGAAGCATTAATTTTATTGGTGTATGACATTGTTTTCTTCGGATTTACATGCCGGACTGATTAGAATTTATGCACCGCTTGTATTACCCGGTAAATAATCGATAGTCAAATCAAATCAACCATTTGCGCGCCTCCTTATTTTAGGAAATTTAACTTTAAATATTAGAGGCGCGGAAATAGAATTACATAAAGAATACGTGCTTACGTACTTACGCAAGATTATTCATGTATATGTGTGCGAAACCAAATAGAGAGCAAGTGTAGTATGGATTTCATAGGTCATTTGCTAAACATGAAAATGGCGGGCAGGAAATTTAATAATGTAGGGATTTGGTTGTGAATTAGAAGATTAGAAGTGTAACTCAAATTCCGATTTACGGCCGAATCTCAGATTTGTGATAGGAGAAATTTCGCGGAGTTCTAAAAAATAATTCCGATACCTGATCTCAAACTAGTTTTGGTACATCAAATGTTAAAAACTTAAAAACTGCTAAACTACTATTAGAATGGCTGAAAGTCTTGTGACACTGTGATTAAATTATAGTATAATAATATTAAAAGATTTGGTAGTCAGTCTGGCTCACATTATTATTATTATTATTCTTTGAAGCGCGAATAGATGTCGGTTAAAATATTTTCCGCTTTTGAATGTGTCTATGCGGTTTATTTGTGTATGAGAAAAGCGCTTCACGAACTATTTAACTTACACAAAATATGTAATTTTATCACATGTGGAAAGACTGTTGCTGTAAATTTTACTGACAAGTAATCGTGAGAAATGATTTTTATAGCAATAATGTGCAATAAGTTTATTTTTAATCATTGATCTTTAGTTTGAATGCTTACATGTTTGTTGTACAGTAAAGAAATATAAGTGATATAAAGTATCATTATTTTATATAAACATGAAAATTCTAATAAAAAAAAGGATTTGTCAAAATTTCGAATGAATATCGATATACAAAATATTAACACTATTATAATTTTTGTCACAATACCGTTGAATAATTTGCTTACATAATAAAATACAAACATTGTGTAAAATAGGAATTAAACAATGTTTAATTTTCAAATAGAAAATTCGTCAGATATCAAATGTTAAGCCATTTTTGTACGATTGGATGATTTTTTTTCTGCATATATTTGCATGCGCCGTTGTATGCATGAGACAAAAAAAGAATTTGTGATCAGCCGAATAAGGTAACTGTTTAAATATTATGGCTTCTAAAACTAGTGAGTATATTTTCTAAACTAGTGGTTATATGTCATTGTTCACCGATCATTGTAAATGACTCGGGGGCAAGAAAAAAAAAAAAAAAAAAAATTTAATAAATACCTCCGTTATTTGATGCATCCTTTTATTCATTCAGTTCATTAAAACTCGACTCGTCCAATTATCAAATCCAATAAATTTTAATGAAAATGAAACAAAATAATACATCCTCAAATTCGACGAGGTCTTGCATCTTTATAGATTCAAGCAACCCAAACTCTCCAAATCAAGTTGTGAATCTCAATTCACAACCTTTTATCAAACCTGCTTTTCCTCCCACAGTTAATGTTAGGGAGTTAATGACTAAACAATCTTCTGGTCGTACATCAGTTCGCGGCCCAAATGCCTTCATCATTTATCGGAAGGTGTTTTTCGAAAAAGCACGGGACGACGGTTACCAATTACCAATGACTATCGTATCCTCGATGGCTTCACAATCTTGGGAGCAAGAACCTGAAATCGTTAAAGAATTATATAGGGAACTTGCTAAAGAAGCAAACAAAATTCGAAACGAAATTTCTCCAAAATCACCTCGACGTAAAAAGAGAGAACAATGGAATATTGTTTCTTTCCAACCCAATAACAAAACCAAAATGTCTAAATCTCGAAGTTCTCGTGCTACACCTTGCCCATTAACACCACCAATGTCACCAACAGAATCCAGTTCAATAATTTCGGAAATGTCCTTTGATGAGGCATGCCCTAAATCTTCTGATCGAGAAGTCAAAAATAGTTTTTCCAATATCGACAACATCGACTCTAAATCTGAAATTGAAACCAAATATATTCCAACTAATGAGTTTGATGCACTTGTCGGCTCATCAATTTTACAACAATTGAATGAGTACGAATATGGATATAATGACTATGATTCTTCTACAGAAGCAGAACAAATTACACCTACTACACCTACCGAATTACCTTTGGGTTTCTGGCGAGGTTTACCAAACGATACGCTGATCACAACTAACGATGCGATCATATTTTCCAACACCGAGTCAGTTTTAGATTCAACAATAACATCCATTGATGATGGCTTTGGGATCCCTAATCATATGGACATTGCTGCCGCGAACGGATATATCTTTATGAATTCAGAAGAATCTTCCTATTTGTTGGATTTGATTCCAATTATGGATATTGCGGATGATCCTGGAATAGTTTTTTCGTCGGACGGGTTGAGCTTTAATAATCCTTTTATTTCTTTTTAAAATTAAAATAACCACTTCCATTTCCTACGTTTTACATATATATATATATACATATTCATTTATCATACTGTATCGATTTATTCTATAATATTTTCCTCCCCATTATTTTATCATTAATTTTTTTTTTCTTTGAATAATTATGCAAGACTATAACGTACTACAGTACATATGCTATTATGGAAAGAGCATGATGTTTATAGTAGATACGAATTTAGAAGGACTGATTATGAATGATTTTTAACGTACGTACATAATAAGATGGTTACATATAGATAAGATTATGAATATATATAGCATATAATGAGTTTTTTTAAGATTATTTTTATAGTATACGTAGCATATTATGAGTTTTTTTAAGATTATTTTTATAGTTTAAATATATGCGTACGTTATAGAGCTTAAATTTATGACACAAAAAATTTTTTATTTTATATAATTTATAAATATTTTTGTATATATTCCTATAGATTATTAAAAAAAAAAAAAAAATTATTTCCTAATCCATAAAAAAAAAAATTGAAACATATCGTTGCGAAAATGTTTGTTTATTAAATGAAAAAAAAAAAATAAAATTGTGAGCAACAATTTTTTCTTGTTTTTTACTTGTGTAAAAAATAACTATGTTCTCATAATTTTCAAGTATTGAAAATGCTTTGTTAACAAATTTGTCAGTAAGTTTTTATTTATAACAAACTTTAATTTTCACATATGTTTCAATTATGTGGATTACTTATATGTAATAAATTATCTTGTTTATATGTATATAATGTATATACTTTATTTTATATAAGGCAAATAAAAAAAATAAATCAAAAAATGTGCCAAAGATATTATTAATGAATTTTACCTTAATTATTTGAATAGTGAATAAAAGAAAATTTCAATATTATAAGCAATAATTTATTTTTTTAAATTATATGACTCAGCGGTTATTCTTTACTATTTTTTACTATTTTTTTTTCGTTGTTAGTATTATATAATTGACTTTGTAAACTCTTAAAAAATAATAATAATATAATAAAATAAAAATAAAAAAAAAACCAGAATTTTATATAACAATGTTTTTTGTAAATTAGAGTTCTAATTCGAATAAATCTGTCATCCGGGTAACTGATAAATGTTTAATGGATTGGAACTCTATTGTAAATTATTAACTGGTTATAAAAAGAGTTGACTATATTTATTTGTAAAAAAAATTCTATTAAAATTATATTTTTTTGCTTTATTGTAGTGCTACAAATTGCCAAAAATTTTGCAATCGATTAGTTGTCAACTTTTCGATTATTCGATTTATTCGATTTTTGTTCGATTTTTATTCGATTTTAATATGAGTTGCTAAAAATTTTTCAATCGATTAGTTGTCAACTTTTCGATTAGTTGCGATTTTCGATTTTCGATTTGTAGTACTACTTTATTGCTTAAAATTTAGTTTCTGCCAACTTTTGTAATAGATAATTTATTCATTTATCTTTATCATTATAGTCTGGATGTTATACGTAAAACTTGAGTTTAACCTAATTGGTGAATTATACCAAATTAGGAATAGATTGTTTAAGATTGCAGAACACGTGCACATGATGCACATGATGCACATACCGATACAGTGTTGTCACGAGCGTTTTTACTTGTAACAGGATGAAACCTGAATTGCGAGCAAGTAAAAGCTTTAAACATGCTTGAACATGCCTGTATGTTCGAACGAGGCATGAATAGGATATACCAAAAAAAAACTTTAAACGCCAAAAAACGCACAATACTGATGTATGTATTTCAATTTTATTTTATTTTTTTATTATAAATTATATATTAATGAACTAAAAAGTGATAATTCAGCAAGACCAATGGCAAAAAGGGCTTTTTAATTAATATATGGTAATCTAAAATAAACTTTGTGGAGAGAGGATCCCACAATTCGGTAGTAATATAATATAATATATACAGTAAGTTAATACATTAATTAACGTTGTTTCGCAAAAAACATTATATTCAAGTAATGATCTCGTTTTTTTTTCATTCTATTAACAGTTAGTTTAATTATTTTTATTTTATTTTATTTATATATTTATTGTTTTATTCCCTATAATATACTATATATATACAGTATATATAATTAATATACTATATACTATATATGTTGTCAATGCCAATCTAGCCTAAATGATAATTATACGTAAACAATTAATTAAGCCGAATATTTGGCGAAAAATTTACGATTGGTTACAACATAAATATATATATATCGATATATAATAAGTGTGGCAACCTAATGCTGAAAATGGCTCATGCTAAAAAAAATTCAAATTTGATCTGTTTTGGTTTCTAAAATTTTTTGGACCTTTTTTTTTTAGCTTTTTCTAGTACTAGATTAGGATTTAAGGTTAAGATGCGTAGTATATGTAAATTTTAATAGATATAATAATTTAAATATATAGGATGAAATTTTGGCATAAGCTAACATAAATATATATGTGTACCTAAAGTTGGCACCTAATTTCAGGGGTTAATTTTGGTCAGGTGCAACTTCAAGCGCATCTGTAGGCATATGTCATATATTTATTATCATGTGCTCTACTATGATTATCGGCAAATAATTCGAAAAACAGTAGAATTCACTTCCTCCTATGAGTTATCATAGAAAGTATAAGATATTCTAATGGCGATAGGAAGCAATTCCACCAGTAACGTCCACAATGAATATTCATGACAAATTCCACCAGTAACATCCACAATGAATATTCATGACATTATCTCGTATAATGCACATATAATGTGGCGGACTGTTGTGGTTTTTCTCTTGCACTTTCGAACCAATACGTAGTAGCAATGAAAAAAAAACTATTATTGAGGAAGGGTGTCACCTTGGTTCGTATTCTTCAAAAGTTAATAATACTATATAATAAATCTTTTTGAAATTAATAGTCCTTATTGAAAAAATTCCATATTATTGCATTTATTTGGTCAAAATATTAAACATGTCTACACCAGAGTGAAACTTGAATTGATAAATGGCCAGTTCTAAATACAAAATTCGAATTCGTTATAAATTCATTATGAGCGCGTGGTTTTATAATCACTACAACAATGACCTTTGGCGATCTTTGTAAATCAATTCTGAATATGTATTGATATACTTGAAAGTCGATTTTGAACGTAACTTAAAACAGGTTATTATTATAAAATTTTGCGTTTTTCTATATTAAAGTCGGTTATATGATGGTATCGTCTACACTGTCTGATAAACTCGAAGCAAAAAAATTAACGTTTGAACTTTATACTTTATTTTCTCAAAAATATCTTTGTTATTTATTAATCTAAAACAAATCACTATAAATATTACTTTGGTATTTATTAAAATTTAAAAATAATAACTAAACTATTTACAGAAATGTATTCATTTTAAAAATATCGTAAAATAAATAGTTTTGTGCCAAATAACCAATTCATCGATTGCTACATAGTGGAATATGATATGAAACAAAACTAACGAGTGAGTATCAACATTACTCCAATAATTCTGCAGTTGAACAACTCTCTGGCAGAGTAGTTCAAGCAGTCAACCTTTGAAGACTTACTGACGCCGTCAATAGTAGTTAGTGATAGTGCAATTTCATACAGTAAATACGCAGTTTAGGTTGATAGTGAACGATAGCAAACGTGAATTGAATACAGTAAGTATTTCATTTATTGGTAATTGATATGAAAGAAAAGAACTTTTTTTTTATTACCGTCTATCGGGGAGCATGTCTTTTATAGGTTTTTATGAATTCTAAATTTTATTTATAACTACCTCATGCCATTGATGACTCTTCACCTCCTGCTTACCTATATAAAACTATTAACCTTACTGTATTTAGATACTGTATTTAAAATATTCATAAACAAATATCAAGTTAGGAATATTGTGACATTAACATATACTGTATATGACATCTAGCTAACAGTTAACTCTTCTAAATTTCACGTACGTACTGTACGACTGTACGTACGTACGCACTTTGTGGACAATATTGTCTTCATCCCATATCGCAGAATCATTTTGTCTATCTTTTGCGCATTCTTTGAGAATGGATACGATATTGCACACTATTATACCAAGACTTGCTATACAGTATTCGCTATAAGAAACACGTCTTTCATACGATCGCGTTGCGGGTTACACGAAACCGCTTAAATAAGAAACCCATTTTCTGGAAATTGTTTTCCATTTTAGTTCAAGTCTTTTTAAGATGCTGCTGCAAAGTGTAACATGCATGGGCTAAATAAATTCTAAAATTTTAAATTCTACGATTGGTTCCAAATATCATACGATTTTTTACAATTAAGTCAATATCATACGATTTTTTTCCAAATATCGTATGATATTTTTCCAAAATCGTATGATATTTTTGCCGCCCCACCAAACATCATACGATATTTTTACGGTCCGTTATCCGAAAAAAATCCTTTTTTACACAACAGCTTATCTTGAGAAAATATAATACATTTATTGTCGCATTGTTAACTTTAATGCTGAATTGCATTATTTGTACATCCTTGATTAAGATGACCGGAGCTTTATCAGATCACGCATTTGACATCGTACAAATTTTTTTTACTAATGCTAATATAAATAAATAATTGTCCCCAACCTTGGGCAACCACATGATTTTATATATATTATTGTATATTAATTATGAACCAGTAACTAAAGGATCTACAAAACAATATCTTATGATATTAGATCGATAGTTAGAGTTGAATTTTTCAAAACTGCTTTTAGTACCCGGCGTGACAAATAATGCAGAGCAACTTTTTAAAATATTATTATGCATACATGTGATGTTTATCCAAGTGATGTTTAAATCTCTCTGTAAAAAATTGCATCACGCCGAGTACTAAAGGCGATGTGATATGGGCAGAGCTGTCACTGGACTACACTGGACATATTCCAGTACTGTGCCACTGGACTACTGGACATAATTTAATAAGTCCAGTCCAGTACCTTTAGCGACTGGACATAG